TATATTTTTGAATAATCCATTAGTGATTTTGTTTGATATAATTCGATAAATCTGTCACAATCATTTTGAATTTCATTAGGACTCATTGGACAAGTTGTCTCTTTTTGGATTTCAGTTTTATTTGATAAGTTTCGTTCTTTATCTTTGGATGTACCAGTTTCATTTAATAATTTTTAGTTAAAGTTGTTAATTTTTTGTATTTGGTTTATTTTAATTCATGATAATTCATCGTTTTTAATTATTTTTCCAGGTACTACAGCTGGTAATTCTTTTTCAACTGTTGAATAATTGATTTCGGCTGAGACTAATTTTCTTGAAGCATAAGCTATTGGTAAATCTCTATCTATTTGACCTTGTGCTAATACAGATCCTATAGCATGAACTTGCATTTGTCGTAAGAATAAATGGTTCGTCAAAATTAGAATATTGTAAAATTGGAGGGTTAGTTAAAGCTTTTTTAAAATTGTTAAAAGCTTGATAAAAATTAAATGGTATTTCCTTTTGTCATTAACAATTTAAAGGTTCTGATATTTTTGCAAAATAAGGGATAAATCTTCGATAATATCCTGCCGATCCTAAGAATGATTTTATTTCTTTTGTATTTTTTGGAACTGGAAAGTCAATGACTCCCTGAACTTTATCTGGGTTGGGTTTGTAATTAAGGGACCAAAATATGCAAGTTCCTTTCTCAAAAATTCGCATTTGTTAGGTTTTATTTTGAAATTTGAGTTTCGTAATCGTTTGAAAACTTCTTTAAGACGATAAATGTGTTCGTGTATTGTTGGTGATAATAAAAATAAGTTTAAACTTAAAACTACAACAGCGTCTCGGTGATTGCACTGGAAATCAAACGCACTTATTTTCAAAATGTAAGTTTTTAACATTTGAAGAAAATTATTTTGGTTGAGGTAAAAAGTATATCATTATTTTCTTTTTGCTTCATGGTTGCGTGTCATTCACCCAAACTTAGCTTTAACAATGTTGAAAATTATATGCAATAAAAAAAAGAACAAAATTAAGAACGCTTTGACAAACATGACTGTTTTGAATTGATAACATTCCGAAATATTTCGCACGTTTTGAAGATTACCGCAATAGGATTAGACATACAATATAATCCAAATTTTCTAGCATTTTTAAATTTAGTTGACCGAGGTAATTTTCGAGATATTATGAACAAGTAAGAAATTATTATCTGCACTTGAATGTATATATTCACAAATATTTTGTTCTTCTACAATGTCATTTACTTTCTTGTATTATGTGTAACATAATAATAAATATTTTTGAAGCTAATGGAAAATAAGTGAGAATGTCATCTCCAAATTTTTTCAAACGGAATAAGTATAACGAGAGTCAACGGACATAATATTGAAAGGAGGCCTTATAATTTGTATATATGTAAACTCCTGGATACTTAAGAAAAAGCGTCAATTCGTGTGACGTGTACTTAGTCAAAGGAATATTATAAGCATTTCAATTTTTCTGGGGCACATTTGAATCTTTTGCTATTTGTTACTTATTATTTCACCATAGGTATAGCTGTTTAAAATGATTTTGTTTTGGGCATTTTTAAAGAGGAAAAAATTAATTTAAACTGAACGCAAAATATTATAAAGTTTTAAGGCAATCTTATAGTATATTTAGTAGAGGAACATATGTCTTTGCATAGCAATTTTCACATTTTGCCGCAAGGTATCAACCTCTGAGCACAAGCACCTATCCGTCTGCGAATTATCTGTTGTTTTGATCTATATCCCTATCCATAATCTTGGAGATAGACATAAAGCACAATTTTAAATTAAATTTTTATATATAAATATCCACAAACCTATTTTCCCGTTAAACTTGCTAGATTGAAAGATTCGACTAAACTACTCGAATGCATTCCTAAAAATAAATTGCCGCATCTCATCTATTATGGTATTAAAGATTTTTTCTACTCCCGTCTGTAAAATACCTAATTACCTACCGATCTAGCTTGGTGAATAAGCAAGATGAGCGACTCTGATAATGAAGAGATGAGTTTTTCACAATGGCCAAGATTTCATAAATTAATCCCGGACCAGCACTAAATATCTGTAAATATCTGTAATTTATCAGATACTGAAACAAATTCAGGTTGAATGAAGAGCAAAAAACGTAATGTCAATTATCTTAATAAATCAATAACCTATTATTTTCGCCAATATCGGATTGGAATGAGAATAAGGATTTTTTAGATAAACTTTTTACTTCTACTTAATTTTAGTGTTATGATCGATATAATTTTTGTTTTTATTCTAGATTCTATGTATTCTTATGTATTATTAGTTTAATATGAACTGTTGCCAATAAAATATTTTTCTCTTTTACGGATTGAAGATGAAGAATTTTAGGAAAGTGGTAAATCTGTTTTTCAAGTTATGTTTGTTGTAAATGTTATTAGGCTTTATGGTCAAGAATCCTTCCGAGATTTTCTTTGCCAATTTAACTGTATACACCCAAACATACGTTTTACCGATACCTCAATGCATTGTCACATCACTAGCCTCAACCACGCTCAAAGGACATGAAAGAAGCTTAAGATTAAGACAAATAAACCCATTAGCAGTTGCCGAACACAATCCCGAAACCGGACATAAAATTTAATTCGATAAAACTAAAATTCTTCAATGTAATAAATTCTTTTACCAACGAAAAACCCGAAATTCTATAGAAATGTATAAGCAACCAAACAATCTTAACCGCCACTCAGGTCTTTCACCTTTCACGAGTATGGGAATCAATCATCCGATATCTGTTATAGGTGTTTCATGCACTAAAGACTTTAAGTGCCCGCAAAGAAGAAGTCCATCGGACTTAGGTCTGGTGAGCGAGGCGGCCAAGGTAAAGGCCCGCCGAACCTATTTCCGGCAAAGGTAGTAGTTCCTCCTAAAGAAATTGCAAATACAATTCCCCATTAAGCGATCCTTAAAAAAATAGGTTCCTATAAGATTATTTCCTATAATCTCCGTCCATACATTGAAAGAAAACCGGCACTGATATTTTCCTTCAATTTTTGCATGTAGGTTTTCAATATCACGACTGAATGCAGTCTCGTCAGAAAGAAAATGACATTTCCGAATTAAGGGTAATTTTTTAATTTTTCCTAAAATTTAATTGCTCAAAATTACTCTAAATTGCTAAAGCCGTCGTGCTTGATCTGCATTGACCAGCTTATTCCGTTGAGAATTAATCACACTGCGTTAAAAATAGAATTTAAAAAAATGAAATTTTTGTTACATGACTTACTATCATTATTTCGCCATAAGCAAAAAGAGAGTTTAACCTCACAAAAAAGAATGATTTGACTGATAGCGGGTTTGGCTTTTAGAGAGGACTCTAATGACGCTTTTCGCTCACACTAAATACTTACCTAGACAAGAAGATCAATTTTACTTGAGCAAAGATATAAGCAACTATAACACAAGGATTAGGGATGATGTTAACATTGCTCACATTAAGCTAAAACGATGATAGGTTGTGCCAAAATATCTAAATGAAAAACTGTTCAACCAAATTTCAATAGTTGTTATTTCACTATCAAAGAAAGGAAAAGTGAGAAATTTTATAACAGAGGGGACTTTCTATTCAATAGAGGAATTTTTCGATATATTTATGATTTGTTTGTATGTTAATCCTATGTTCCTTGTATTTTACTTTTAGATTTATTTTAATGAACAGTGAATATCGATAATCGATAATCGGTAATTATAATTTAAATGTTGGTGCTCAATTTTTATTTTGTCTTATCTTAGTGTGTATTGATTTGTGTAAACGTTTACGCGTATTAGCATCAATCAATTACTATTATTATTATTAACGTATGTTGCTGTTGCATTGCCTCTGTTACTCAAATAGTTTACACGGATTTAAATTTTTGCTTACGTTATAATATATAGTGTAGTGATGAATTAAACTCCGTTAATTGATGTACATGTTTTAATCCTGGTACAGTTTCGGACACTTCAAAACGATATGAATGTTATCTACGACTGAAGTTTAAAACACGAAAATATATGTGCAGTTATATATCTCGCTTTTATATAAAAGCGATTAAAATCAAGCCGGAAAATACAATACTACAAGAACATTAAAAAATATTCTGATTATAATTGATAAACCAATAGGACATTACGTTTTCCATAGTCCAAAATCGATTAAAATGCAACCCAAAATACGAAACAAAGCGACCTGTTCTATCACAATCACAAACAATTAATTCCCTCACAAGTGAACAAAAAACAATACATTACAATGTTTTCACCGAAATATGGGAAGATAAGACCATTTATTCAATATAGAGATTTCTTCAGTCACTGCTAAACAGATACGATATGTCTGTTTTCTTAACTCAGATTTAATGGTATGTTATCCAACAATTTTCATAAGTGTCATTTTAGTCTCGGGATCCTGATCTGGATTTATGAAGATGTTACATAAAGTATTTTGGTACCCTGGTGCAGAGCATAAATTGAATCCTCTCTTAAACCCTTGGAAAGATATTAAAATTATAATTGATTTATTTTACTAGTGTATATAGTATATTAATTAATAGTAATCTTTACACTATCGGAAATTAAATTGTTTCCAGAGAGTGTGTGTGTTTTATTTTTGAATAAAAGGGAATAATCGGAAGGAATTAATAATTCATTGGGCATCTACTTGCCAAATACGTGTATAACGACACGTAATGTGAATGCACAAAGTTATGATCAGAAATCCCGGTTCAAACTGGTTGATAGTTGATAGCTGGGATTACACTTGCGCTTACGTTTCTTAGTGGATTTAGCTGAATTAATTATTTTGAACTAAAGTTAAATGTCCTCAATTTAACCCTAACTTGTAAGGAGCACTACGTGCATATCTTGAATCAGTATCAAAGGTTCATTATAAACACCTAAGTTTTTCCGCTTTTGAGATGCTTCAGTTTGTTATTTGCAAAAAATGAAAGATAGGATAATTCTAGACGACGAGACTGTAACCTAAGGCAATTAATTTAAGTCTAAATAAATAAATACATCTAAAAATCCAAATTATATTATTGCAATGCGTGGATACCAAGAAAACGTAGAAGACGAAACGGACCATTAAATACTATACGGACATTCAAACATTCGGTGGCTATAGCTGCATGTTGCTCAAGTTAAACGCACCTAGATACCAACATGACACGCGCCACTTGTGACTATTCAGCTCATTAGAGAGACCGTTTCATTTTTTTTTTGTTTCAATGATTTTATCTGGATGAGATTAGAAATTTGCAATATATAAGGCCAGTTTTCGGCTACCATTTCTAAGTTTAGTCGACGACACATTTGGAGAAATAAAGCAATCATGAGGAGGTAAGAAATTATTAATCAGTATTAATATATTAGGATTCAGAACCTTGTAGGTACTAGTATATTCAAACTGTTTTGTAAAAATCTACTCAGAAGCCACTTATTAAGTGTAGCAAATAAAACTTGTACAATAATTTTCTGTTTTAGTATAGAGGACCGTAATTTTTTTCATAATTATCAAACTCGATGCAATATACAACTATATTCAATTTCCTACACATTTCACTACGCATTTCAAAGTAAATATAGAACAATAATCATACTGCCTACATGTCAATGATCCGTAAAAATACTCCTTAAAGTGAGACACGTTCAATAAATGTGGCGGCAAATGTTAAATGCCCGAAATTAGTGCCACATCATTTTCGAAGTAAAGAAATCGAGTTCACTAGTAATTTGAGCCTAATTTCCACAGGGCACTTTCATTTTTTATGATCAATTTTTTTTTAAAATATTGACAATTTGAAATTGAGACTAAATCTCACCGCAAAGTGCATCACAAAATTATAGATTTTGAATTTTTTGACAGTCTGGATGGCGAAATCTTGCTTCGGTGAGCAAAAACGTAATTATTATTTATAGGTTTAGCGGCCCCTTAGTCTGGGCGCTCAGTATCCTTTCCATTATAAACCTGACCATTGCTCAGGGCAAGAGCAGTCTTATAAGTGACGATCTCCTCAAGGATGCGATTTCCAAAGCCAAAGAAACTCATTTAGAAAGGATGAAAATGCAGTATCGTGTTTGGGCAGCAGGTTAGCAACATTTTTCGGTTCTTACGAAAATATTTTCCTACGATAGAATTACAGGTGGTGGTCTTGATCCAAAATCGCATCAGGCGACGGCCGCAGCTTTTGGAAAAGCGAATAAACACGCAATTCGTTGGGCAAACACGTCGCTACTTTACGAGTTGGCTTCAAAGGAGATATTAAACGCCTTGGGGTGAGCAAACATGAAAGTGGGTATGAACTGAATTGTTTTCACAGCCATCATTTCATTCCTAGGCACACAAAAAGACCGGAAATTTTATCTGAACTAAAAAATATAGACGTGTCTGATCTGCTTCCCGCTACCAAATACGCAACAGACACAAACTGTAGCGACTCAGGGCCATGCGATGCAACTTCGCCATATAGAACCCTCACCGGATACTGTAACAATTTGGCCCAACCTGACTTGGGAACTAGTTTGTCTAACTTTAGACGACTATTATCTAGTGCTTACGACGACGGTAGGGCTAATCGACATCAATTTTTATTGCTTACCTGGACAATTATTGTTTCACGCAGGCATTTCGGCGCCGAGGATAACGGCAGCTAGTGGCAATCCACTACCAAATCCCAGATCAATTTCTACAACTGTCCACCCGGATGTTTCTCATTTGAGTAACAATTATACGATGTTGATTATGCAGTTTGCTCAGTTTTTGGACCACGATATTACCTTAACACCCCTGAATCAAGGATTTCAGGAATCTATCCCATCCTGTAGACCCTGCGACAGTAAGCAAACCGTGCATCCTGAATGTAACCCGTTCCAAATACCTCCAGATGATGACTTTTTCCCTCAATTCAATAGTACCACTGGCGAACAAGCATGCTTTCCGTCTATGAGAACTTTACAGGGGCAAAGTACACTCGGCTCTAGGGAACAAGTCAATCAAAATACTCCGTATTTGGATGGATCAGTGATATACGGCGAGAATAACTGCGTACTTCAAATGGTTAAAGGAGAGAATGGAAGATTAAACGCGTCAGATCTCGGTGATGGATCGAAAGATTATTTGCCCAGAACTACTACTAACGTGGAATGCAAATCTGCATCAGGATTATGTTTCTATGGCGGAGATGGTAGGGCTTCGGAACAGGCAGGTTTGTCGATGATGCACACGATTTTCTTGAGAGAACACAATAGAATAAATGATGCCTTGCAAACGTTAAACCCATCCTGGAGCGCAGATAAGCGATTTAATGAAACCAGAAGGATAGTTGTTGCCATTCTACAGCACATCACTTACAACGAATTTTTACCGAGGATTTTGGGTGACGGTCAGTTGGACGATTATGGACTTAGACTATTAGATGACGGATTCTACGTGAATTATGATCCGAATTGTAGTCCGGACACATATACTGAGTTTGCCGCAGCTGCCTATAGAATTGGTCACTCGCTTCTACGAGCTCGAGTTCCAATGTTAGACAACAATTTCACAAATGTGGATCCTCCACTTTTATTAAGAGATTCGTTCTTCCAAACCGACCGACTGTTCGCTGTAAGTAGTTTGTTGAAGTTAAATTATTCGTATTAATATTGCATTGATTTCAGCCGAATATAATCGATGATATAGCCCGTGGTATCAGTTCGACGCCAATGGAAGATCTAGATCGATTTGTTACGAACGAAGTTACAAATCATTTGTTTGAAAATACAAGAGTAAACTTCACTGGTGTCGACTTAGTTGCTTTAAATATTCAGAGGGCCAGGGATCACGGTATTCCTCCCTACAACGACTATCGCGCATACTGTCTTAACTCTCGTGCGGACACCTTCGATGATTTATCAGACACAACGGCTGCGGATGCCATAGAGCAATTACAACAAGCTTATGAGAGTGTGGACGACATCGATCTCTTCCCTGGTGGATTGACCGAAAATCAGTTACCTGGTGGTCTGGTTGGGCCCACTTTTGGTTGCATTATTGGTCTTCAATTTGCTCGCTTAAAACAATGCGATCGATTTTGGTACGTCACCGTTATTACAAATATATTGATAGTTTAATTCAGATACCAAATATGTATTTTAGGTACGAAACCCAAGATCGTACGGTAGGATTTTCGGAGCAACAACTGGCTGAGATAAGAAAAATTACATTTTCCAAATTGATATGTGATAATATTGATGGTAATAACAACATACACGCCATTGCTTTCAATATACCGTCGGATTCATCAAATCCAAGAGTGCCGTGTGATTCACTTCCAGCACCGGATCTTACGGCTTGGCAAGAATAGTTGCTTGTTTTGTAATTATTGATTTTGCACTGATATTTTTCAATAAACTCTCACACACCGTTATGTAATGTGTATTCATTAACTATTTCGAAATAAGTGGATATTTCAAGCTTCGTAAAATAAAAGTATTATATGAGCGTTTAGCTTAAGGTTGCATTTTTGTATTCCTTGAAATAGATACTAAAGTTTTATATTTGTTGACCGTGTGACTTCTGCAGTGTTACAAACAGCCTCAAAATCTTTTTGTCTTTTATAGTAACAATGTTGCCATTGCTGCAGAAAAGCTGCATTAATTCTAAATTTTCTACAAATCCGCCATCAATTGCTGGTAATTTTTGTATAATAGGTAATATGTAATTATTATATTTTTTTGTTCAAAACATTTTTTAATCTTTAATAACATTAATCTTTATAACGTTAACTATCCCTGGAAGACAATTTAATACGGTATACAAATATATTAAGCATTTCAAAATAAAAGCAGGTTCCTGTAAAGTTGGCATATTTGCCTTAATTTAATAAATTCGATTGCACATTTCGAAAATTTGACAGTTAATGGATTGTTATTAATGCCTGTGTTGTAACTATCCAAACATTTTAGCCAAACAAAGTATTGATGAATTTGTTTCTTTTTCATGAAAAATATGGTTAAATTATAGTGAAACGTCAATTATGTATTAAAATTTAAACCGAAACCAGATTTACTGAAACTTGTAACGTCTGATGGAGACAGGGTAATATATGTCAGAGATCGTAAAATAAATAATAAAAATAGGACGGGGACGGGAGCTGATGGTGAGGGAGGAGACATGGATTTGGACTTTTTGTACATATCTAATCACTTAATTAATTATTAAAGGCAATAGAACGATCCGCGAATAGCAAGATGAACCACCGATGGTAATCAAAAATACACTATATATAAATAGTTACTCAAAATCTGACCTAACCATTGCTTCTATAAAGTCAGACTATCTCGTAGTGTTCTATTCACTTCGGCAAAATACCAAAGTTAGTTCCCACGAGTCCACAATATTACGACTGACAGATCGTTGATTAATATGTCTTAGCATTTCAGCGTGCTCTACATGAGGTTCAACAAATAAAAGCAAGATAACAGATTCTAAAAGAAACTGAATATATATTCTGTAATAATAAACAAAATTAATGAACAAATATTTGCCAACCGACTGAACTGTTAACTATAATTGAATATGATTTCTAACTCCAGCTTTCACACTTGTTTTTAAGCCGAGCCGACAAATCTTATAAGATAGTATTACAATATAATAATATCACTTTCGAAGCAAACACTTTGCTTTTCGATTAATCAGAGCAATTCAAGCTGAAAACTATTCAAAATCCTAAAATACAAAGTAGATCCCTGTATAGTTAAGTTATGATAATCTTTAACTGTATAAATGTGTGCAAAATGAAAAAGAAATATTTATCGAGTTCTAGTGCCGAGAGAGAACGATAGTTGTGGGTATACCCCAGAGTTCAATATTAGTTGTCATTTATATAAATCAACTCCCATTAGTGAACCCGCAATTGCAATTTTTGTGCGGGGACGAAGTAGAGGCGCTTTTTTTCACACAAAATACTCACCTTTCAGTCAGTCTATATCTTTAAGACTCTGCTCTGTATAAAAGCTCAAGAAGATCGATATTGGTTAGAGAGGGAGAAGGGATGGTATACTTATTGTAGGCTAAAGCGATGCCAGGCTATTATCAACGAATAGGTTTAAAAATCGAGTGGAGATTTCTAATATATCCTAATGTATTCTATTCAATAGAGCAATTTTGACCAGCACTATGTAAACAATTTCTCTGGATTTTAGTTTTAGATTTATTTTAATGTTATGTGTCTCTAAACAATGTTCGTGTTAAGGTATGCAGCTGGTTTCAGGAAGAAATGACGTTGCCTCTGTTACTTAAAACGGATATTTAAATTACTTTCAAATTATTTTTCAAATTATTATCTAGGTTTGCACCGATAACACTTTCGTAATATAAATCCATTATTTGGACTACTTAAGTACTTGTGTTATTTTTGTTGTTAGCATAACAAAAAATCAAACGTCAGGTGAACTCTGGGACAATTTAAAACGATATGAATGACTGACGATTAAAATACACGTGTAAAAGAATATGTAAATATATGCAACGGAAAATCTAATATTACAAGGGCGTTCAAAAATTTTGATATTTTATTTGGAACACCCATTGGACATTACGCACTCCACAGTTCAAAAGTGATTAAAATTCAACTCAAAATAAAGTGACCTATTCCGTGACAAGTCACCACAGACAATTCCTTCACAAGTGAACAACAGAAAGTACAATGCAATATTGCACTTGAATATGGCGAGACAGGACTCCTTAATCTCCCCACTTTTACCTCAAGAAAATTAAAATTTTTGATAAATGAAGGTTTTACAAATAATGCCGACTCTAAGATTTTGATCCACCGACGACTTACTTGTTTTCTGGAATTTTCATTATCTCCAGAAGAGAAGGGAGACGTTGTTGATCCTTAATGCATATTTATACTGATTTGTTATTCCATCACATTGGCTTTGAATGATGTAACATTCTGGGAGCGAAACCTTCTGAAATTTAATGCTATTTTCATAAAGGGTTTCCGAAGTTTTAGTGCAGAAAAGTAAGACGTTCTTATATGTCATAGAATGCCCTTGAAAATTGTTTCGGCCTGTGGCATATTGGGAGTCAGTGGGCAAGTGGCAGCTGTGCAGTCCACAACATATCCACCTAGAATTTATTTATTTACCATTATTATAACATAGATTGTCAAAATAGTATTTGCTCTTGGTAACCAGTATTTTGGATTCGTTAATCGGTAATGGGTAAACAATATTTTTAATTTAATTTAAGTGCTGGGTTTAAAGATTTTTATTTTTAAAGCGAGAATTGCCATATCCGATAAAATCATTAGACCTGTTCTGAAAATTGATCAATCTTAAACATTGCCAGATTTTTTCTGCTTGTTGCGTTATATAAATTACAAAAGAGATAGTGCTTAACATTTATTCCCAATACCGATTAAGGTTAGTTATTTCGAAGTAGAGGTTCTGCAATAGAAACAACGAATTTATTTCAGTTTTCATTTCCGTGAATTTACAAAGAATCTTATCTGCATTTAAATTTAAAACATTTATGTTTTCGTTAAATTTATGTTCAATATTTCGTGCCAATCAACTTAGGTCGTTAATATTCCGCAGCGATTTAGGCTGATTCTCCGTCACTAATTGTTTCTAGATTAATATTGTCTAGATTGCCGGTAATAAATTTGTTACCAGTTCCTATGAAGTTGATTAAACCTCGTTTTTTACGATTGACGTTGTATATTTCACAATCATTCAACGTTGCATGCGTTGCACAGGTGTCGCGTAATTGAGGTTGATCAAGAATAAATTATTATTTTGTGAATATACTATAGGACCAACAGTTAAAAAATTACTACACAGCTTAGTCAACGTAAATTGAATATTACCTAAACTGAAGTGAATATATTATGACATATATGTTTATGATAGGGATGGCGTGACGTCTTCTTCATAATATCCATTATCCGGTAGCTTCTTGGAGAGAAGTGCTTGGGTTCGGTTGGTCATGTTGGGCCAAGATCAGGAAGCTAGAAAGAAGGTTTCTTTCTAAGTCGTTTGATTTATCTAGTGCGCACAGTTTGTGCGCTTTAATTCTGGTGATTTTGCAGACACTTCGATGGAAGCGAATTAATTTACTTCTTCGTTTCTCGCTCATTGTCGTTCGTTTAAATAGGGATCGTAGGGTATAGAAAAAGGAGAATAACCGGTTGTGGAACCAATACGCGAAAGTAATTAAATTTTCCGGCGTTTCATCTGTGTGGTTAGAAGGGGTAGTGTGATGAATTTCGAGACAGAATAATTGACAAAATTCTTTGAATAAATTATTTTCAAATTCTGGTCCTTGATCAAAGAGTATTGTGGTGATATATCTATGATCCGACATAGAGTCCTCCACACAGACACACCACTCAGTTATTTTAGGGAGCAGAGCCCTGGTACAGAGTGTCAAGTCTGAAACCCAGCTCCGACCTGTCGTGAAAAATGTGGGTCTCTGTTGGCCACCTGCAGCCCTGCCGAGGCCATGAACTCCACTAGATCTCCCTTCTACGATTGGTCGCCGCGTTGCCTCCCAAAACGTGGTGAGCATTGCTATCGCAGCCCATCAAAAGAGAAAGATTCGCCTCCTCACAGTAGGAGACCAAGTCCCTGATCTCCACCCGAGGACAGCTGCGGTCGCCTGGAAAATACGCAGAGACGACCACTACTTCACGCCGTCGCGAGTGTTGGATCTGACCAGAATTGGAATCAGATCCCTGGAAGCCTTGTCCCTTAAGAAAAAGGCCTCCAGCCCCATGGTTAGTATGCAGGCCCTGGAATCGTCTCCTGAGGAGTCGACACTATGCAGCGTCGACCCTCTCAGAGATAACCCCCTAACCCTTGATTTTACAATCCAGGGCTCTAGGATCAGTACAATGGATGTACCGTCCTCCGAAATTTTCCTGCATAAGCGAGTCCTTGTAGGCCTGCTGTGTTGCAGGTTAATTTGTAGTATCGCCGTGAAGGTGTTGTTATGGGAATACTACTGGTGGACCCTGGTGGGAATCCCGGTCCACCTCCAACCGAGATTCCTCCTCGGTTCTCTCTTCCTCGGAGGGCCCTTCGGAGGTCTCCTCCAAGGAAACCGCGAGCGCTGCCTCCGCGACGGGCCCATCAACCTCCATGGACGAGCACCCGACACAGTGAGGGCGCTCTGTTTCCTTTCCTGTATAAACCTGACAGTCGCTCAGAGCATAAGTGACGATCTCCTCAAGGACGCAGTTTCAAAAGTCAAAGAAACTCATTTGGAAAGGATGAAAATGCAATATCGCGTTTGGGCAGCAGGTTAGCTACATTTTCTGATGCTCACGAGCATATTTCCGACGGTAAAATTACAGGCGGTGATCTTGACCCAAAATAGCATCAGCAACGGTCGCAGCTTTTGGCAATGCGAATAAGGAAGTATTAAACGTGAGGGGTGAACAAACAAGAGTGTTGGTATGAATTGTTTTGAATTGTTTTCACAAGAAGACCAGAAATTTTATCTGAAATAAAAAATATAGACGTATCTGATCTGCTTCCGGCTACCAAATACGCAATAGACTCAAATTGTAGCGACTCGGGGCCATGCGATGCATCTTTGCCATATTGAACTCAAACCGGATATTGTAACAATCTGGGCCAACCTGACTTGGGAACTAGTTTGCCCACTTTTTGACGATTGATACCGAGTGCTCACGACGACGGTAAGGCTTATAGATATCAATTTTTATTGCTTAACTGAATGATTATTGTTTCATGCAGGCATTTCCGCGCCTAGAATAACTGCAGCTAGTGGAAATCCGCTACCAAATTCCAGATCTATTTCTACGACGATACGATGTTGATTATAGAGTTTGCATAGTTTTTGGATCACGATATTACCTTAACATCCCAAAATCAAAGATTTGATGACTCTATTCCATCTTGCAGACCCTGCGACAGCAAACAAACCGTACACCCCGAATGTAGCCGGTTCCAAATACCTCCAGATCATGACTCTTGTCCCCATTCAATAGTACCACCGGCGAACAAGCATGCTCCCCGTCTATGAGAACTTTGCAGGGACAAAGTACACTTGGCTCCAGGGAACAAGTCAATCATAGGGAGAGAATAACTGCGTACTTCAAATGGTTAAAGGGGAGAATTGAAGATTAAATGCGTCAGATCTCGGAGATGGATCGAATGACTATTTGCCCAGAACTACTACTAATGTGGAACGCAAATCTACATCAAAATTATGATTCTGTGGAACCTGCTTCGGAACAAGCAGGTTTGATGATGATGCACACGATTTTCTTGAGGGAACACAATAGAATAAATGACGTCTTGAAAACTTTCAATCCATCCTGGAGAGCAGATAAGCGATTTAATGAAACTAGAAGGATAGTTGTTGCCATTCTACAGCACATCACTTACAACGAATTTTTACCGGCATGCTGTCTTATACTCTCCTTACCAACCGTTTTTGTTTTTAAAAACTATTCCTTTAGAACATAACACAAATTTAAAACACTACTTTATTTAAACTAAAAAATTACAGAATAATAACCAACTCCAAAATCTCAAATCCCAAATCCGTTGTTCCTGCGGCGTGCCAGGTAGCTGGACCGTGGGCGTCGAAGAGTTCTAGAACGTTGAGGAATCACTCGCTTCTTAGTCAGCATTACTCAGCAGACAATGTAATACAATACTAATGACTTTGAGGTTCAATAATAAGGTTAGATTGTTGTAAACAGATTGAATTACTCCATATAACAACTCCCCTTTTCAAAAAAAAATTGTTATTTTAATTTTTAAAACAAAATAATTATACTAAATTTTTGATTGGAGTCAGAGCGATATCTCCTTCATCTTCTTCTATTGCTTCTCCAACTCTAATGCTTGGTCTTCTTTTTACGAGAATTCTTGGTAATCTTCGTAAAATGTTTTCTTCATTCTTTGGAGGTTGTAGTGGCGATGGTTGGTTTAAACTTCCAATAGCTAACTGTCTTTTACGATTTTTACATTTAAAGTAACAAAATAAAATAATTAAGCAAATGATTAATAGAATTGATAAATAAGTAAGCCATGGTGGAAATTTTTCAATATAAGGTTCATTTATTATATGGTCTAGAATTTTCGAATATTGATCAAGTTTATGTTTTGTAATTTCTAATTCATCAAAATTAATGTTACTTAACTTTAAAGGTCGTAAGTTAGGCAATTTTATTTTTTCTGGTAAATCTTTACAACAATCATACGGAATGATTACCGCCTGTGTTTCATAGGATATATTTGACAATTTGATTAAATCTGCTTGTACTTTTGTATTTCCAATAAAAGAACTACAGTAAGGATACAAAGTTAGAATTGTATTTTCTATAATACCTTCAGAACATGGTTCATGATGTGGGCATTTAATAGTAATTGGTAATTGTTCTGATACACTTATTAACTATTTGTTTGTTTTTAATTTTTGAATATTATATAACAAAACAATTTGACAAGTATTTGGAAGAGACAATTTACTTTTAAATGATTGAGTTTCGCATTGGGCATTTGTATCAATTGGATAATGAAATATATTTTGACATAATAATGCGTAATATGCGTTTTTACAATTTTCTATACTTTCAATAGGATTGTACATTTCTGAATCATAACCTTTCGCGATGTATTTTTGTGAAACAGATAAAATGTGATGTAATCCTGTTCGATTATCAAGAACCGGAATTTGAAATATCTTATACAACATATAATGTTCAGGTTCTAATCCATCTTCAGTTTGAAAAGCTTTAAATTCAATAATGCTTAAACAAGAGTTATGTCAAATGGCAAACTATTTCTTCTCAAGTTTTGCAACATGGTTTTTAAAGACATGGTTAAATATTTTGGAGTAATAATTGAAGTATGAATAACCTTAAATTTTGAGAATGTAATTGCGTTTAAAATATCATTCGTTATCTTCAATGAAGAGAAAAGATTCCATTAATTGTTCGCATATGTCTAAAATTTGTACCTTTGATTCGATAAATTTTAAATTATCCGATATATCATAAATTGATTCCTCAATTTCTTCAATATCCTTGGTGAAAGTCTCTTCGTCAATTTGTAATTTTCTTATAGTTTCATTAAAATCCTTAATAACTGATGTCGTTACTGGTATTTATTTTTTCGTTAACTCTTCAAATTGATGTTCATCCTTTTCGATTTTATTAATGCATTCATTATAATATTCTCCATCAGAAGCGTCTAAATTCCCCGTTATAAATTTCCACACAGATCCAAAAGCATTTATTAAACCACGTTTGTTTCTTATATGTGACTCATATCTCATAGAAACATCAAATTCTATTTCTGAAAACCTAGTTTCTAACGTATTTGATTATTGGGTTAGTAATGATAAATGTGTTTGCACTTCATCTTTGAAGGCATACATTCGATTATTTGAAGCTGTTACTAAACTAAGTAAGCTGTTTAATATTTTATTATTATTTTCAAATGAGTTCTTTAATTGTTTAGTATCCTTATATACAAAAAGCGTCCATTTATCGTTGGAAACGATAAGGCGATTAATGGGTTCATAGTAAACTCCTAAGGCATTTTTTATTTGTTGTAATTTATATTGTGCTTCTATTGATGTAATAACGATAAATAATCTGAAAAGAGAGAAAAGTTTCAATCAGTATCAATTTCTTGCATAGAAATATCATATTTATCTTCTTTTTCATAAAAAGATTTTAATCTGTCGAAATTGACTTGTTTTTACACCTGTTATTAAATTAAGAGCAATAGCTGAATTTTCAAAGATTTCTGTTAATTCAAATGGACCATTAAATTTATTAGCATATTTTCCTTTTATTTGCGATTCTTTGATATAAACTTTATCTCCTACTTGAAATTGATGTCGTTTAGAAACATGTCTATTAAATCTTTCCTTTGACCTTTGTTTTTGTTGTTCATTTTTTTCTCTTGCTTTATCATAATAATACTTAATTCGAGTATTTAGATCTCTTACATATTTTGTAACTAATTCTTTTTCATTATAGACTGTCTCCGGTGGTCTATTTGACGTATGGCCAAATATTAATTACCATGGGGTAAAACCATGTGTTTTATTAACAGAATTATTATAGGAAATTACTGCATAAGGTAATACACTAAACGGATGTTCATTTGGATTTTCCATTTTTGAAATTCGAAGCATTTCTAATAAGGTTGCATGAAATCTTCCGAAAGAACCGTTTGATTCTGGATGATCTACAGTTGAAAATATTAGTAAAATAGTACTTGCTATCGATTTTGAACTTTTATCAGATATTGGATAAGCTTGAGTGAATTTTGTTAATTCGTCTCGAATTGTTAAAATTTAATTAAGTAGTTACTAATGGTTCTCTTAAATTTTTGCTATTAATTTTAGTTTTTTGGCAGATTTCGCACCCTTCAATAAAGTCTTCAACATCTTTAGTCATTCCTTGCAATGTATATTTTTCTTTATTTCGTCTAATTGTTTCATTTATTCCGCGGTGAAGATTACTTTTTCCACAATGTTTTTGATAAATAATTATTGGTGTCTGATCTTTGTTCTCAATGTCCGTAACTACATTTTGACAAACGATTAGTTTTTAATCTTTATCGGCGAAAATAAAAGATATCATTTCGCGAATAGACAAGTTGATATTGTTTTCGACATAATACGTTTTGTTTTCACTAAGATCAGTGTTACAAAGTATTTTAAATAATTCTGGTACTGCAATTCCCTTATCAAACGAGACAACAATAATATAATAGTCACGTTTTTTTACCGTTTTAGAAGATATATTTATTTTGTTGTGTTAAGTTCACTTTGTTGAAAAATAGTAATAATGTTTTTATGTTCTTTATTTAATAATTGTTCGTTTGAAAATTATATTTTTGAATAATCCATTAGTGATTTTGTTTGATATAATTCGATAAATCTGTCACAATCATTTTGAATTTCATTAGGACTCATTGGACAAGTTGTCTCTTTTTGGATTTCAGTTTTATTTGATAAGTTTCGTTCTTTATCTTTGGATGTACCAGTTTCATTTAATAATTTTTAGTTAAAGTTGTTAATTTTTTGTATTTGGTTTATTTTAATTCATGATAATTCATCGTTTTTAATTATTTTTCCAGGTACTACAGCTGGTAATTCTTTTTCAACTGTTGAATAATTGATTTCGGCTGAGACTAATTTTCTTGAAGCATAAGCTATTGGTAAATCTCTATCTATTTGACCTTGTGCTAATACAGATCCTATAGCATGAACTTGCATTTGTCGTAAGAATAAATGGTTCGTCAAAATTAGAATATTGTAAAATTGGAGGGTTAGTTAAAGCTTTTTTAAAATTGTTAAAAGCTTGATAAAAATTAAATGGTATTTCCTTTTGTCATTAACAATTTAAAGGTTCTGATATTTTTGCAAAATAAGGGATAAATCTTCGATAATATCCTGCCGATCCTAAGAATGATTTTATTTCTTTTGTATTTTTTGGAACTGGAAAGTCAATGACTCCCTGAACTTTATCTGGGTTGGGTTTGTAATTAAGGGACCAAAATATGCAAGTTCCTTTCTCAAAAATTCGCATTTGTTAGGTTTTATTTTGAAATTTGAGTTTCGTAATCGTTGAAAACTTCTTTAAGACGATAAATGTGTTCGTGTATTGTTGGTGATAATAAAAATAAGTTTAAACTTAAAACTACAACAGCGTCTCGGTGATTGCACTGGAAATCAAACGCACTTATTTTCAAAATGTAAGTTTTTAACATTTGAAGAAAATTATTTTGGTTGAGGTAAAAAGTATATCATTATTTTCTTTTTGCTTCATGGTTGCGTGTCATTCACCCAAACTTAGCTTTAACAATGTTGAAAATTATATGCAATAAAAAAAAGAACAAAATTAAGAACGCTTTGACAAACATGACTGTTTTGAATTGATAACATTCCGAAATATTTCGCACGTTTTGAAGATTACCGCAATAGGATTAGACATACAATATAATCCAAATTTTCTAGCATTTTTAAATTTAGTTGACCGAGGTAATTTTCGAGATATTATGAACAAGTAAGAAATTATTATCTGCACTTGAATGTATATATTCACAAATATTTAGTTCTTCTACAATGTCATTTACTTTCTTGTATTATGTGTAACATAATAATAAATATTTTTGAAGCTAATGGAAAATAAGTGAGAATGTCATCTCCAAATTTTTTCAAACGGAATAAGTATAACGAGAGTCGACCGACATAATATTGAAAGGAGGCCTTATAATTTGTATGTATGTAAACTCCTGGATACTTAAGAAAAAGCGTCAATTCGTGTGACGTGTACTTAGTCAAAGGAATATTATAAGCATTTCAATTTTTCTGGGGCACATTTGAATCTTTTGCTATTTGTTACTTATTATTTCACCATAGGTATAGCTGTTTAAAATGATTTTGTTTTGGGCATTTTTAAAGAGGAAAAAATTAATTTAAACTGAACGCAAAATATTATAAAGTTTTAAGGCAATCTTATAGTATATTTAGTAGAGGAACATATGTCTTTGCATAGCAATTTTCACATTTTGCCGCAAGGTATCAACCTCTGAGCACAAGCACCTATCCGTCTGCGAATTATCTGTTATTTTGATCTATATCCCTATCCATAATCTTGGAGATAGACATAAAGCACAATTTTAAATTAAATTTTTATATATAAATATCCACAAACCTATTTTCCCGTTAAACTTGCTAGATTGAAAGATTCGACTAAACTACTCGAATGCATTCCTAAAAATAAATTGCCGCATCTCATCTATTATGGTATTAAAGATTTTTTCTACTCCCGTCTGTAAAATACCTAATTACCTACCGATCTAGCTTGGTGAATAAGCAAGATGAGCGACTCTGATAATGAAGAGATGAGTTTTTCACAATGGCCAAGATTTCATAAATTAATCCCGGACCAGCACTAAATATCTGTAAATATCTGTAATTTATCAGATACTGAAACAAATTCAGGTTGAATGAAGAGCAAAAAACGTAATGTCAATTATCTTAATAAATCAATAACCTATTATTTTCGCCAATATCGGATTGGAATGAGAATAAGGATTTTTTAGATAAACTTTTTACTTCTACTTAATTTTAGTGTTATGATCGATATAATTTTTGTTTTTATTCTAGATTCTATGTATTCTTATGTATTATTAGTTTAATATGAACTGTTGCCAATAAAATATTTTTCTCTTTTACGGATTGAAGATGAAGAATTTTAGGAAAGTGGTAAATCTGTTTTTCAAGTTATGTTTGTTGTAAATGTTATTAGGCTTTATGGTCAAGAATCCTTCCGAGATTTTCTTTGCCAATTTAACTGTATACACCCAAACATACGTTTTACCGATACCTCAATGCATTGTCACATCACTAGCCTCAACCACGCTCAAAGGACATGAAAGAAGCTTAAGATTAAGACAAATAAACCCATTAGCAGTTGCCGAACACAATCCCGAAACCGGACATAAAATTTAATTCGATAAAACTAAAATTCTTCAATGTAATAAATTCTTTTACCAACGAAAAACCCGAAATTCTATAGAAATGTATAAGCAACCAAACAATCTTAACCGCCACTCAGGTCTTTCACCTTTCACGAGTAT